TAGGAAATGCATTTCCCATGAAGATTAAAAATAAAAAGTCCCCACCGGCAGCCTGGCAGAATCTGATGGCAGGGCCTCCCAACCAGAGAAATCTGTAAGTCTATACCTGGCCCAGGATAGCATTACACACACCGGAAGGTAAAGAGTGTCAGCTTTGTAAGCCTGATCCAAGCTCCAGTGCCGACTCCACCACAGGCTGTTTTTTTTAAATTACGATCATTTATTATTATTTTTTTAATTGAAGTATAGTTGATTTACAATGTTGTGTTAGTTTCTGGTGTACAGCATAATGATTCAGTCATACATATATATATATATATATATATTCTTTTTCATTATAGGTTTTTACAAGATATTGACTATAGTTAGTTCCCTGTGCTATGCAGTAGGACCTTGCTGTTTATCTATTTTGTATCTAGTAGTTTGTATCTGCTAATTCTAAACCCCTAATCTATCCCTTCTCCCCTTTTCTACTTCAGTAACCATAAGTTTGTTTTCTATGTCTGTGAGTCTGTTTCTGTTTTGTAAGTAAGTTCATTAGTCTCGTTTATTTTAGATTCCACATGTGAGTGATATCATGTGATATTTGTCTTTGTCTGTCTGACTTACTTCAGTTGGTATGATTATCTCTAGGCCCATCCATGTTGCTGCAAATGGCATTATTTCACTCTTTTTTATGGCTGAGTAGTTTTATATGTATACCACATCTTTATCCAATCATCTGTCAGTGGACATTTAGGCTGCTTCCCTGTCTTGGCTATGTAAATAGTGCTGCTATAAATATGGGGGTGCGTATATGTTTTCGATTAGAGCTTCCTCCAGATATACGCCCAGGAGTGGGATTGCTGGATCATATGATAAGTCTATTTTTAGTTTTTAAAGGAATCTCCCTTCTGTTTTCCATAGTGGCTGCACCAAATTACATTCCCACCAACAGTGTAAGAGGGTTTTCTTTTCCCTACATCCTCTCCAGCTTTTACTGTTTGTTAACTTTTTAAAGATGGTCATTCTGACTGGTGTGAGGAGATACCTCACTGCAGTTTGATTTGCATTTCTCTCATAATTAGTGATATTGAGCATCCTTTCATGTGCCTGTTGGCCACCTGTATGTCTTCATTGGAGAAATGTCTGCTTAGGTCTTCTGCCCATTTTTTGACTATTTTTGTTGTAGTTTTTCCTCTTTTTTGTTTGTTTGTTTTTGAGTTGTATGAGCTGTTTGTATATTCTAGAAGTTACGCCCTTGTCAGTCACATCGTTTGCAAATATTTCCTCCCATTCCATAGGTTGTCTTTCTGTTTTGTTTATGGTTTCCTCACCATAAGCTGTCTGATGCTGGGTAAATTTCTTCACTTCTCCTAGCCTCAGCATATTCACCTATAAAATGGGATGAATAACTTCCACTCACTAAATGAGGCTACATGAGATGGTCTGCTGCTCCTGTTGCTATGATTTTGACAGGACTCATATCTTAAGTGTTCTTTGCTTAAAATTTCAGGGGAAAAAAAAGGCCATAAGATATAACAGAAAGAGCCTAGATCTGGCTCATAGACATTGCTTTGAGGGTCATGAGCCTCTGACCCTGAGGTTACTTTTAGGGCTCCTGGGTCCTCATCTGTCTGAAGAGGGGCAGGAAGACCCTTAGACCAACCCTAAGATCTCTTCCTGTTCTAGGCTCTTGAATGTCGCTGAGGTTCTAAATGACAGTCCTTACCCATTTCAGGATTTAACAAGTTACCTCCTAGAAAGTTGTTTATCTAAAAACTTTTAGTTTCCACCCTAGAAGCAAAAAGGCCAGTGAGAACCTTGAGGGCAGGTCACCAACTTTTGCAGTCTTGGCCCTTAACACAAACCTGGCACAAAGTAAGACCTGGTAAATCATTGTTGAGTGTAATGGACACACGAATGAATGAATGATTTCCAAGGGCTGGCAAAAATAGAGACTGTTTTTCCACCACTGAGCAAAGTTTAATGCAAGGAGAAAATGCTACCAATTTCAAATATTAATGATATTTATTTTGTCATCTGAATTAAAATCAGAATACCAGATGAATAGTTGCTGCCAGTCAAAAGGATGCCTGACTTGGGCTTTTGCTGGAAGAGTGCACTTTGGTCCACGCGTGGCACAGGGTTTGCCACAGGCTACAGAAGGAATATGTAAACCCTGAGAAGAACAGGTTACCCAATCTCTAAGGCAGGGATGGCAGAGAAGCATGTTAACATCTGAAAGGAAAAATACCAGGGCCTCCACATGTGGGCATGCAGTTGTGTCTGCCCAGATGCTCCCAGCTGAGGAGCGGAGATCCAAAATCCAGCAGGTGGTCTGCTCACCTGTGAGGCCAAGACCACCCAGGAGCGCTATGGGTGGGTGGGAGCCCTGCTGGTTAACCTCAGCAGCAGATGAACTGGGGTCTGCTGGGGACTTTAATAATAAAGAAGATAATAATAATATAATAATAATGATGCATACACGCATATACACAAACACATGTATGCATTTAATGGTCACTGTGTTAATAAACTAAACTCTTTAAATATTTGATTGTACTTAATTTTCATAACTACCCTGAGAAGTAAGTGTTGGTGTTTGAGGCAGAAGAGCTTGCTGTTTAAAAGCTTGGACTCGAGAGTTAGACTGTGTGGATTCAAATCCTAAATGCTGCTTATAAGCTGGGTGGGCATAAGCAGGCTTATTTAAGCTCTCTGGGCCTCATGCTTCTCATATGTTAAGTGGAAATAATAATAGTGCCTGTCTTACGAAGCTGTTGTGGAGTATGAGTTAATACGTGTAAAATGCTTACAACAGGAGTAGGCACAAAGTTGAAGCATCAACTCAAAGAAAACCTACAGTCATAGTTAATACTGTGGGTGCTTACTATGTGTCAGGGCCTGTTCAAAGCCCTTGAGAAATATCCCATTCCTCTTATCAATGGTCTGATGTGAGCAGTGTTTATTAGTCCCATTTAACAGATTAGAAAACAGACACAGAAAATTCAAATAACTTCTCCCAAGGTCATGCAAGCAGTCCAGCTTCAGAGCCCATGGTCTTTATCAGCATTTTCAAATCTTTTGGCCCAATCCACAGCAAGAAGTACATTCTACATCAGGACCCAGTATACACTCAGACAGTTATACATAACTGAAACAAAGTTTTAAAACAGAAACTATGCACCATCACCATGTGCCATGCATTCTGATGCTTTCTATTATATTGCAACCCATTAAAAAAAATATATATCACTCGACAAATATTTGTGGAACACCTACTATGTGTTAGACATTGCTCTAGGCTTTGGAGGCTACGTCAGTGGATGAAAGAGAGAAAAAAAAATCCTTGCCCTCTTGGAGCTTGCATTTACCAGAAAGAGAAAGTAAATAAAATCCACATGCAAAATGGTAGCAACTGTGGTAATAATTTTGTGAGCACTATGGCGAAAAATAAAGCAGGGAAGACCAAGGGTGGCCAAAGAAGGTTTCACAACGCTTTCACTCCCCACTACGCTGATTTCAGCAGGCTGTCACCCACAATGGAAAACTCCTGTCCTTAATCTCGCCACTCCAGTGCCTCCTGTATATATGAAGCCTCTTCCTCCTAGATTGTGCCACATGCACACTTGTATGTGACACTGTGCACATGTGTACACATGTATAGGCGTGCATGGACGTGTTGCACGCATGTATGGATATGCATGTTCATCTCCATTCACTTCCTCACTGGGGAGCTTTGAAGATGGGAGGCCGGTGTTCAAGGGTTCCCTACACAATCCTGCCCTACCCTGCAGAGGGGTCCTGGAATGGAGCCTGAAAAATAGCCCAGGCACCATTAGCCAATACCATGAGTGCCAGACATGTGCCTTCAGTGCAGAAGGGGGAAAATCTTTTTTTAATCACTGGTCCACCCAGAGGGAGCACCTTTTGTAAATTGTTAGGCCAGAGGGAAAGCTAGTTCCTAATCTGAATCAAGGCCCTCTATGTGCTAGAGTGCCTTTAAGGAGAGAAGAGACAGCACACAGGAATAAAAATCACCTCCTGGGGAAAATCCAGTGCATTGGGCACACCTGGCAGGGTGATTGATGGTGATTGATGTGGCTCTGGGAGGAGATGGGACTGGAGCCAGCTCTAAAGCAACTCTCGGCCACCTAGGTAGCCTCCACTGAGGGCATTTGGAACTTGGCACGAAAGTGAAATCTTCAGACTCTCAGTTAAAGGGGCACATAAAAATGTTACTAGCATGGGCAGCAAAAGCACTGCCTATGGGAAAAGCAGCCAGTCTCTGCTAATGAATAAGTGTAATTGATCACAACAGATGACTTGATGGCCCTTCCAAATGTGCTTTTAGCAAAGTGGACAGTTTTTCATTCAAATGCAAACTCACTCAGATAAGATCTAATAATGGAGATTTTGGAACAATCCCAGCATCAGTGATTTCTTTTTTTTCCCTCCTACACTGAACAGGAAGGCTTCTTAAGTTCCTGGTCACAGCTTCACCCAGTCAGATGACAATTTATGTTTTCCCTATGGCTGAGGAGACCCTGACAGCCCCTGGGGCAGCAAAGGGCCAGTCACAGGATACCCCACATCCCTATCTGTCCTTTCCTCCTTAGCCCCTTTCCCACTCTCTGACCTATGGGGAGATGAGTGGCTGGGAGACACACTCAGTTCAATCATCCATTTATTCAATAAATATTTATTGAGCACTTACTATACACAAGGCACCGTGTTGACCATCACAAGGGGATTCCACCATAAGATAGTTAAGACCAGGTCCTGTCCTTAGAAGAAGGGGCAGATGTGAAGGGAGGCAGCAAATGACAGGAGGCAGGCGTAGAGGTCCCAGCTCACTCCAACAAGCACTTAATCTTTCTGAGCTTCAATTTCCTCCTTTATCAAATGAAGACACTGCACTAAACATGATCTCTGGGCACTAGGCCAGCTTGAAAACTCTATGATTCTAAGTCCTCCCCTTCCCACGCAGGCTCCTAGGCTTCTAGGAAGCTGACAGATCAGGTGCCGCCTTCTAGGAAGGGGGCAGTCAGGAAAGGAAACTTCCCCACAGTTAAAGTCTCTTTCATTTTGGCCAGCACACAAGATACAAGCTGAAGAAGATGAGAGGTAAGTTCAGGAAATTAATTGGAAGATTTAGACTTCCACATCAAGGAATCTGGGGAAAATGGGAGCCACTGGAATTTGTGCAGAGAAGAACGTGGCAAGGAAATCTGACCGACCTGCAGAGGATGAGCTGTAGGCGGGGAGGGCTGTGATGCTGCAATAGAGTAGAAAGCTGAGGCCTCAGGTTCCTCCCATGGTCTGGTGGAGCACATCATTCCATCTCAACCGCCCCACCCCCCCATCCTCACAATGCTTATTTTCTTAAACTCGCCCAAGTGGATTATCACTTTGCACCGTCTTTCTTTTTTCTTTCTTTTTTTTTAAGTTCCACAAGTGCCTTCAAGGTAAACAGGTAAATCTTATCTCTCAGCCCAGGCGCCTGAGGTTTAACAGAACCTACAAGGTGTGCCAGGGAAGGACGCAGGAAGCCACCAGCAGCTCCCGGGATAGGCGAGGCTGGGATTTAGAGAGGGTTGCGCCTACCTGCAGAGGAGCCGTCGTCGTGGTCAGAGCTGTTGTGGCTGCAGTCACTGCCCCTCTCAGGCGAGCTGTGGCTGGGCGAGTCTCGCTCAGGCAGCCCCAGGAACCTCTT